AAAAATTCGTATCCTGTGCAAGTTTAAGAGCTTTATAAAAATGGCACACCTGTCATTTGATATTATTACGTTTACCCATTTGTTTTCCAAAAGCTCAAAACCTTAGCAAGGTAAGCATAGAAGCCATGTTGTGATTAAACTTTTCTGAAATAACTTTTCGTCAAGTAGAGTAGTTATTTCAGATAAGGAATCTCACCGAATCCGGGCAGCTCCTCGGCTTTCCTGGCTAATTTGCTGAAAATTCACAGCCCATGTACACTGCCTTCCGTTGTGTAAGTAAAGTCGTATTTAGATAAATACTCAAAAATAAGTAATTGGAAATTACTCGAGATTATCTAAGCCAAGTGTCCCAAACTGGAGGTAACCCGCGGTCAAAATTATCTCTCTTGCGTTGGCAAAACCTCGAGTGGCTAAGGTGATGGTATGCATTTTATGTGGCACTAGCAAAATGTGGTCTGTTTGGTTGCATGCTGTCTTGCTTCCGTAGTGTTTGTGGATTCGGAAATGCCAGCCATTTACAAAAGGATAATTCATTGATAGAATAACCTAAATAAACGTGTATTATCTGACATTTTGAAGCCGAATAAAGTTACTTTCGTTTGCATTTCGGTTTTATCTACCCATGATCAGTCATAATAATATACTGTCTAGTTCAAAGGACGATTCAGACGAAATCAAGGCTGCAGTTAATTGTGTAGCTTTGAAAATCTTGTTCATAATATCTTCAAATCAAACTCCCTCAAGTCTTGGTGCTAAAGAACGATCATGTGTCTTCAATAATCTCTGGAGTATTTACTTCAGCCAACTGACTATAATAATCGGAATCGATTCGATAATCATTTAGAGGCTGCTATGTTTTAAGGTGGATTCGTTCATCAAAATGTCATGTTTGATTCAGATAATATATATTTTGCTAGTGTGACAATCCTCACACCACAGTTACATTTGTATTGATGAATTAATTCCCATGGAAATAATTCTATAAGCCTTCGACTTTCATACTGATCTCACTAATTTACTAGACAAATCGTAGCCGATGTTGTGCATTCACGCATCCGCACTAGTTCAGGTTTGGTTTATCTGCGTTCTGTGCTTCTTACAACAATTAATTAGCATAGGTTTCGACACATTAACTATTTCTCAAGTGTATTTTAGAACCTCTTCATTTTTGACTTCTGAGTTCGTTCATTTAAGATCTCGGCAATGCTTCATTTTAGAAACTCCAGATAAAGGTATTTACATAATAAACTCATGATCGCTGTCAACTAGATATAAATAAAAATACATAATAATCGTTGTACTTCGGTATTTCTCTAAAATTACGATTATATGGATTTGTGGGAAGTTTTCTAATTCGTTGGCATTATTAAGATTTATCTACTCCCAAGTCAGGTGTCCGTTTGATATATTTTGGTTGATACTCTCGCATAAATATCAGAGTTCAGCAAAACGGTTGTAGTAGGTCTTGTTTAACAGCACATTGGACGTAGGAGGCGGTGCTTAAAATAAATAGTCCTTTGAACATTCAAAATGCAATACTATTAAGCAAAATGCCTATATAAAGTAGTGAAGTAAATATTCCTATTACATATAATATTTTAATCCAAAATAATATATTTGGTTTACTCAAGATGTTACGTCAGCCTCTTTCTAGAATCGAATTCAATAGGAATATTGGCCTTGATCCATTTACAGAACGGAAATAAACCCGTTTAATGCTAGGTCTTATTTCTTTCACTTTCAATGATGCTTACCGCTCGATCAGCACTGAGACATACTTATAATAATAATAGGTGGTAAATATTTGATTGGTTTCATGTCCGATCTCTGTAGAAATTACATTCCTTCCAAAAGTTATCTTTCCTAATTTATCGTGCCAGAAAATAAAACAAGAACATATGAGTAATTGTTGTGAGTGGATCAACCCTGTTCATCAAAAACATAAAAGAATCATAAACCTTAAGTCTCAGAACTGATTGGACTTATTATGTTCAGCGAAATTATCAATCTCAGTATTCCACTACAAGTACGTCTAGCATTAAGGGGGATCGTGGTTCGAGTACTTGCGGGTGCAGTACCTTTGTTTACGAAACTTACAGTTACATCCCATGTCCCCGATTCCAAAGTACTCGAACCTGAGGAAGAATTATATATGTATATACGTATATTTGGAATGGGTAACTGATGAAGCGTCTGCGGCACGTGTACGTCATTGATAATTTTTGTGCTTTCCTGACTGCAGAAATTGAAACAATTAAAACAAAATGAGCTCTTTCACTGTGGTAAGTGCATGGTGATAATACTAAAAATTATAATTCCCAACATCATTTAGTGATAGTAATGGTAGGAATAACAACCATGAACCAGTCTGACTAACGTACACGCCATAGCAGTAGTAAATAAACCCTCAAAATAAATATTTTGTTAAGTCTGTGCCTTCAACAAACTGGTCATTGGAGGAGCAATATTCCCATACAAACGCATGCACAAAGCTACATGGATTTCACCGGATCACACTACTCAGAACCTAAATCAAGTAAAATGCAACGAATACAGTGGGCGGCCAGTGTAGCAGCAGCCTCAGGGAAAAGTAAGATTCTGCGTGTTATGCATGAACGAACACATGTCATTTATTATGCTTGAACTATTACGAATTTACCTTAGCCTCAAAACGCGAGTGAGGATCGCGGATCCAGCGACATGACATGCTACTCTAATACGAGTGTCCCAACCCCCATTGAGTGAAAGAAGACTCGATATGAAGTAGAACATGTATTCTACAAGCATCCAGAAAGTACGAGGTCCGACTCCAGAAGAGAATCAGGATTCCGGACTAGGGATCCGGGTCATAGAACGTTACAGATAATGCTTATTTACACATTCAGGTTGAATAGGAAATAGCATCAAAGTCTGTGACATTGACAGTTAAGACGGCCAACAGGAAACAACATTTGAAGTGACATTGAAATTCAGGACGACCAATAAGAAACAACATTGGAGTACTTGACACTGATATCTAGGACGATAATAAAATTGACCAGTAGAAATTAACCAATAGGAACTGACCAATAATTCTCCTAGGATATTGGATGAATATCATAACATCTCAATACAACACAACATGCGCCACCAAATCACTCATAAAGGAGATACCTTGGAGGACGTTAAAACCTTTACGTATCTGGGTAGCATTACAGAAAATCAAGGTGGATCCGATGCAGATGTGAAGGCGCGGATCGGAAAAGCAAGGGCTGCATTTCTAAAATCGAAAAATATCTGGAACTCCAAACAAATGTCAATCAATACCAAAATCAGTATTTTTAATACATATGTCGGGACAGTTCTACTGTATGGAGCGGAAACTTGGAGAACTACAAAAGCCATCATCCAGAAGATACAAGTGTTTATTAACAGGTGTCTGCGCAAAATACTTCAGATTCGTTGGCCAGACACGATCAGCAACAACGAACTGTGGGAGAGAACAAACCAGATTCCAGTAGAGGAGGAAATCAGGAAGAAGCGGTGGAAGTGGATAGGACACACATTGAGGAAAGCACCTAACTGCATCACAAGACAAGTCCTCACATGGAACCCTAAAGGTCATAGGAACAGAGGAAGACCAAAGAACACATTACGCCGAGAAATATAGAAAGACATGAGAAGAATGAACAAAAATTGGACAGAACTGGAGAGAGAAGCCCAGGACAAAGTTGGTTGAAGAACAGTGTTCGGCGGCCTATGCTCCATTGGGGGTGACAGGCGTAAGACTAAGACTTCTATCTCTTCTCGAAAACCACTTGCAGAACAGGGTGTTTTGTTCCAATGTAGACATAGTGGATGCCGGTAGGTGAGCCTCAACACGTGAGGTTTGAGAAGAGGCCATATTAGGTCCACTCCTTTTCTTGATATTTACTGATGATTCATCACATGAAAATCAGTACTGGGATACTAACCTATGCAGACAATGGAAAGATCTGGAGGTTGATAAGAAACAAAAAGGAATCATTTTAGCTTCAAAAGGATCTTAGGAAAATAGAGGACTGGACGATGGACGAACTGAAACGTAGTTGGTCGAAATCTGATGCTGTGAACATCTGGTCCCATGTAACAAAAAGCTAAAGTCCTCAATGGATGTCCGCTCCCAAATATTTCTTCAGAGCGTGATCTTGCTCAAATAATCACAGAATCTAGACACCAGTTCGACACACATTAGGGATAGATCTAAGGCAAACGCGACTCTTCGATTTAGGTGATGTAAACTTGATACAGTCAACCCAGACTTGTTCCCAACTTTCTTAAAAAGGTACGAATGGCTCCACATTGAACTTCGCAATGTTGTAGTAACCCCTCTCTTTAAAAGAGCAACTAACCGAATTCAGAGACGGACAACTCAGTATGCGATAGGAGTGAAGAATAATTCTTACGAAGTTAGGCTTGAATACACGGAATTATTCTCTCGGAGCTATAGGAGAACTAGAGGTGATCTGATAATGGTAAGCAACATCAAGCTTTCAAGCAGACGATCTTCAACCAAATAATGTGATAGCTGCTGGCATATAGAAACCCTAATGAACTGAATCAAATGCACTCACTCGAATTTTGGGACATTAAAATCCATAACACACTGTCAAATCGACTAAAATGAATACTGTCGAGTAGATAGCCTCCCGCCTAGTGAACATCATCAAATATCTGAAATCGTACTGAAAAAACAAGAGGCCAGTGTGACGCATGCTAAACCTTACTCTATGTGCTTACTGAGTTGTCGGCTCATTTTTTCTCATGTTCTTTCTTTTTCCAGATAATCTCATACTCTGCTCCTCACACACCCCCAGCACACAAGGTACCAGGGGCTAAAGGCAAACCAACCGAAGGCCGAAGTTATACAAGCAAAGTTAAAGCAGTCAACTTAGATAAGTTCATGAAAAACATTGTATATTGGTTATGACCGTTCTTTCTTTAAATTTCATACTCAGTGGTATTTTCCTCAGACTGTGTGCACAAACGACAGCGCCAGTTTCGACTGCTGCTTAAAATGGGAGATTATGGTGAAGAGAAACAATTCGTTGTGGAAGGTAGAAGCTGTACCTTGTTTGATGATCAGGAAAAAGCTTGTGAAGTTGATAGTGAAAGGCTTTTGATACCTTGGTGCGGTGACAAATCAATCTTAATTGATAGGTCAGGCTTTCTTATTTGATATAGTTGCTTAACTTGTAAATTTTTATGTACGGTTGTGTGTCCTAATTTACCTTTCAGGTAGTGAAGTGTTCTTTTGGTGTGCGTTGTGTTCCATGTGGATCCCGAATTCAAGAAGTCGCTCATTTTTTATTAGGAGACATGCCAAAGCAGTCGCTTGGTGAAACTTCAGAAATTGATTTTCTCTGTGATGAAATTAACTTTTTACACATCGCTTGATCGGTTACTTGCAAGTCTTCTCGTGGATACCTGTTGAAATGGATCCATCTAATGCAATTTCACTAATGTCACCCTAATGGTCTCGTATTTTCTAAGAGACTAAACCATGAATTTTTCCTATTAAGCTGACTTACGTAGGATTGTGACCCAGTACAATTAGACAGTCGACATATTGTTATTGTTTGAATCTACGAAATTCTAAACCACTTATGCTTCCATTTATACTTTTACCAAGTAATTTGTGTCATAGGCTCTTCCGGTGTATTCTAAAAGTGATGTAATATAATCATGGTTGTGATAAAGAATATAACAGGCTTTCCTTAAACCTGAGGCGCTGTAATTCTTCGTACAAAAGCTCGTTATTCTCATTTTAACCTCTGACCTATGCTTTGATAAATGGCGTAGAAGCATGTAACACTCAGGCCATTATCCGTCTTCGCTGACAGAAGGGTTGAATGGCATCATCATAGGTGAGACAATTTCCAAAACCTACCAAGAAAGCTTCCTGAAATAAGGACACTAGTTTGATTTGTCTTCAAGTAAAAATTGGCTACAGTGCTGATCCAAACACTAGTTAAAACATGCTAAAATGCAAGATGTAAAGACATTTGGGGTTTATTATGAACGTTTTTTTGGCAGGTAGCGTATCATTTCTGAATGAGATGGCTCGTCAACTTGCGTCATCCGAGGTACCCGTGTGATATCCACTCTCCAACCAAGGGTAAATTATGCTCAGCATATCACTGTTTCAGTTCAAAGTTGTGGAACATGAAATTCTGGCTGATGTAAAAGTAGGATGAGCAAAAGCTAATGCCAACCAAACCGAGATGCGACACCATCTCATGGGGTTTCTGACTGTTGGGTCAAACAATTTTAGTTGATTCCGACTACCTATTTGTAGTGGGCGCAAGGACCGTGATAAGTAGCAGGGAATTGAAGGCTACCAGGATGAAATGACTTACTCATTTTTGGGCCATAAGATTAAGACTATCTACATCACTGTTCATTTTTCAGTAAAAACGCTCAACTCCAACCGAAGTGGTTTCAAAATGCTGAGTTTAGGTGTCATTCCAGGCACTTCGTCTTAATGACCATTTATTACGCCTTAAATTTACAATAATATTTGGATAGTAGTGTAATTTAGTGCTTGATTTTGAAGGAGTTTGTTGCTTCTCACATACTTGAATATTAAGTTTTCAGACTAGGGTAACTAGACGAATTTACTAAATTACAGTACATGCCTTACACAGCTACCGGAAAATTTATTTAAATTGCACTGATTAGTAGGTCTGCTTATGCATGTGTTCGTTCATATAACATAGTTCGCTGACCAGGATGCCCTAATCAATGCTGTCTCGGGTTCTCCTTTCCAGTTGTTGCAAAGTGCTATTGGTTCTTTCGATGTCTACCTTAAATTCATGGCAAAATGTGTCCTTTGATCTGCCTCTTCCTGTTGCTTTACGGATTCCAAATTATGGTATTTTTTTATGACGCAGTTTAATTTTCTCATTGTGCCGTGACGATCTTCGGTGGTCTCTTTATCTCCGCTTCATTTGGTAGTGTGTCTCTGCTACAGTAGGCTGCTGCTTATGTTGTCAGACCAATGGATTTGGAGTATCTTGTGTAAATGTATCTTTCGGATGATGGCTTCCGTAGTTCTCCGATTGACGTTTGTATTGAAAATCTTGGTTTTGGTATTGTTGTTTTCCAGATGTCCTTCAATTGTAGAAATGCTGCCATTTTTAGTTGCCCTGGATCCGCCTCCAGATTTTCGGAACAGTTCAATGTGCTGTGATACAAATATTTCATTTAATTTCCGTTTATTACTCGAGTCAACCTTGTTTGTGCGACGTCGGTAATGAGAAGCCCAATAGGATCTTGGATAAACTTATTTTATACATGCACGCAAGCAGACAGACAAAAACGAGAAACGTAAAAGCTAATCAGAAGTGAGTAAGCCGATGTGATAAGGCATGACTAAGTATCTACAGTCAAACAAAAGTAAACTGGACATGTGTTGAGCAAAGTAAGCAAAAACATCCAAGATCATAGGTGATTAACTGACAAGGTCAAAAGATGTGATTAATAACCCAGTTTGCCCAGAGGCTGGGACAAGCCATATGGGCTCGAGATAATAGGGCAGATTACACCTTGCTTTTCTAATCTTCATGTCTGCATCAAATCCTTTTATCAGTAATGCTACCCAGGTACGTAAAGGTTTACACATCCTCGAGACCAAGTATGACTTGGTTGGCGCGTTGTATCTGAAGATCTTTCCTTTATGTATGTCAAAGCCTACTGTTGTATAATCTAATGCTACACTGGCCTTCACCTACATTTGTTCCCGTGCGTGAGTTAGAAGATCTAGGTGATCTGCAAAGTCTAAATCGTCTAGCTGCATCCAAGGTGTTCATTGTATTACGTGCTTTCCATGAGACGCTGTCTTCATAGTCCCGTCAACTACCAGAAGAGAAAGCAAGAATAAACCGTCCTTTCTGACAGGTCTGTTTTTGGAGTGGATCTGCGGGCTACCCTCAATGCACGAGTTCGCGATGTAATATATCATAAGAATTCCATTCTATAGCTTCAGTTTTATATTGGTCACCATCAAGTGGTTCGAAAGGATATCAGTACTTCTTTTTGTTTGTACGTCTTCCATGGACCTGAACGTTGTGCTGATGCAGATGTGATCGGTCCGGTTCTGTGTAGTGTGGTCCGGTTCAACCCATCAGGCTTTTGAATTCGTTTGTGGAGAAAATCGATGCCGCCCATAACTATATTGTATAAGGCACATGGTTTTCGTCCTTTCCTCTCCTTCTATATTGTTTGATGTTATTCATTCCTATTGTGAAGTTTGGGCCTCTAATAAAAATGCTCAGGTCCTTCTCTGAAGGATTCTCTGCGATTAACTTCCGCATCATTCAAGTGGTCGTTCGTGGGTACTTTTCAATGGATAACATTTATTTTAATCGCCTGTTTCGTTGTTTTCATGGGTGGTTTGATGATCATGGGTCTATCAGATTCTCACCCTATAAGTGTTTTTCATTCTTCTTTGGATAACAACAGTGCAACTCCGTGTTAGAGTTATTGTCTTGTTCATGAACGGAGTATAACAGCATCTCTCCTGAAGCTAGTCCTTTTTGACCAACCTGCGTCCAATGTGTACTGCTAGGTTGTATCTTTTTATTTCCGCAACCACTTGACTAGTTCTCCCACGATATGCAAACATTCCATGTACGTATATTAATGGTTTCTCTAGTCAAAAGAGGCATCACTAGTGAAACTCGACTTTCATCATGAGACGTCATAACTCTTCTACACGAAATACAAACTCAGGACAGTTTAAATGGTTTGAATTATTTTTTCTGGTTGGCGTCTTTTTAGCCAGTTGGTTTTCTACGGGATGAGGTCACTGATCCCGTGCCCAACCCTCCTTTATCCGGGTTTGGGATCAGAAGTAACCCCAGACGGACAGTAGGCAAAGCTGGGGAATATTTTCTAATAGTATTGACTAGTTGAGGTACTTTGTCTTTGCACTGATTTAGTTTATATAGTTGCAAAGTCCATCAGATCCACATCCGCTATGTGGCGTAATTTTTTAGTTTCAGATCAGCAAAGTATTAAAATTGAACATCGTTGTAAAGATTCCATCATGAAATAAGACTTCTTAACTTTATGCCCAACATCACTAAGAAGTTCGAAATGTATATAAAGACTTTAGGATTATATTCATTGTCTAACTCTCTTAATTATTACCTTTTGTTTCAATTTTGTAACCAACTGGCTCCTATCTTGCTACCTTCAGGTTCGATGGACGTGGTTATCTCATTGATGTTTGCGAAGATTTCGAGCGCGATTTAAGTCCTAATGATTACTTATCTGAAGAAGAGATTGCCATTGAAAAGATGTGCGATTTTGAACGTTATTTGGAAATGCAAGTGGACGTCCATGAACTCTCTATTCAAGATGGTGAGTTTACTTTTGTATTTGTGTTTTGATGTGTTCTGCAATACCACCCTTGCTGATTGTTAATGTGATCTTAGCTTTTGAGTCGACACATCTTTGGTAAACGTATATTGACAGCTTCATCCTCGTGGTAAGTTATGTTCATCAAAAGAGTACAATATTTTTATCTTGATATTTGCTGTGATTTTCACTAAATTAACGTTTGGGTTTTTCTGTTCATTAATGCATCCACTACACATTTTATGCTCCAGAGATTAACACCTTTTACGTCTGTTTATATCTTGCAGGTTGTTTTTTGGAGTGGGACATGCAATTCGAGCCTGATGAGGCTATGGGAATAAGCATACTTTCAATGTAATTAAACATAAGTCGTTTTTAAAAAAAACTGTTACACTTATGTTTTCCATTCCCATATTTATCATTCGTCCGGTTTTTTGTTTTACAGAAGAAGCCCGGAAACGTGAAAATGAACGATTTCGCAATGACTATGGAGCTGTTAGCTTCTCTTACAATGAAAGCGCTTCTAAACCAAATGGCGACGAATCAAACAAGGAATCAAGTAAATACTTATTATTCTGCGAAAATTGATATCCTGCATTGAGTTGAAGTACATATATGTCAGTTGTATCTACCCTCCACTCTACTTAACTATTCATTCGGATCAAGCCTACATACTAATTGTCATGCGAGAAGAATTGCCTCGTATCGGCTTGTTATTATTTGAATATTGTTGTCCGCCATTTGATAAAGACTGTTGTGCAGACAGTTTTATTTCACATGGTTAATAAACTATGTACTTAGAAAATGACCAGTCCTAGGTAATCATGTCCGGTGCCTCACATCAGAATTACTCGTTACCTTCTATTTCAGATCCTGGCTAGTTCTTTATTTTTGTAGCTCCCAATTAACTTACGGGAACTGTATAGTTCGTTGTTTCTTTCTGGAATCTCGATTGTTTGATATTCTGTTTAACGTCTGGTCAACCAAAAACAAATGGACTGATAAGAATGCGCAGCAAATATATGCAAATAATCTTTTAAAATGTATGAACATTTTGTTTAACATATTTGCTTTCGTAGTCGTTCATCCAGTTGCAATATTAGATTTAAGTCGAGCTGATCAGTTAGTTTTTTACCACGATGGTGGTCTAAACTGGCGAACATTCATCAATGTTAGATTGCTCGAAGATTATTTTATGGGAGTAAATGGTCACTTTCTAGCTTACCACATCATCATCTTAGTGATCAAAATCATTTTTGCCTCAAGACAGTTTCTTTTTTTAACTAGCTGAGCCTGGAAGTAACGAGCAGCGCACTGAGGAACCATATACTTGTCCTCCTGAGCTACAACAACTCTTGTCGAATTTCCAACTTCCAGAATCCGATAAACAAGCTCACATTATTGAGAAGACTGCTGTTTTTGTTTCTCGACAAGGAACTCAGATGGAAATAGTTCTCAAAGCCAAACAACATAATAATCCACTATTTGGCTTTTTGACTTATGACCATCCACTTAATCCTTTCTACAAAGAAATTGTGAGATTAATTTCTCAAGGTCGTTACATTCCGAAACCTCGTCAGACTACAGATAAACCAACTGGGACACTCTTTACCAGTGCAAACGAGTCAAACAAGGTGGGTGTCAGATTTTTTGAGTTTCTATGTCGTTATATCTACATTACTTGGTAGTGATAAGTATTTTTACACTTGGTCAGGATTCTTATTGCTTGTAACAGTTTTGAATATCTCCATGAACTAATGGGCATTTAACAAGCTCCTTGTTGTGTGAAGAAAACCCGTTTCATACATCCTTAAAATGTTACTAGTACGTTAAAAAAATGAAACAGGATATTTTAGACGAGAATAGTAAACATTTTGGGTTATTATCCATATACACAACTCCATCTGGAGCTCCTCGGGTTACTGTCGATCTCAAACCCGGATAAAGAAGGAGTCAGACTGTCAGTCAGTTACAATTTAGAAACTCGTACGTACGTACATCAGTTCAGGTTGCCATACCATATTAGCTCAGAGAGGCAATTGTCACTTTAAATCCCATAGTAGTAGAGATAGTAGAAGTATAAGCAGTAATCGGAGAGATCAGGGTTCGAAGATATTATTCAAGAGGTAAAATCTAGTGAAATAAATTTAAAAATAAAAAGATAAAGGTGATGGGGAATTCAGAAGATAAGGAATTGACGGAACATGAAGAATGAATGCACCTGCGGCATTGCAAACGGTTTTGAGGCATGCCATTCAGAGTCCCTAACCATCAATGATTATTATGTCGCGGGCAGTCAACAGCTATGGTTTATAGTGGTGGGTCTAGTCGGTCTGAAGTAAGTGTAGTGCAACAGTCACCCAACCAGAATAAATGTGCCCCTGTTACACCCAGTCCATCCCATTCCAGCTCAGTCCGGCAGACAAAAACGAATCCCCCTGCCCCTTTCTGGCACTGGTGCACGGCACTATCCGCGAAGCTACCCATTTATGCAACATCGGTGCAGGAAGTGTTGGGTCGTAGGTCATGAAGATCGGTTTTGTCCAAAGTGGAAGCCAAACCGCCCCAGAACGACCAAAAAGATGGGTCCTAGATCCATTACAAATTCGTTGAGCCTAGTATCTTCTTGTGAAAGCTCATCCCCAGGTGGGAGGAAATACATTACCCATAATAATAATAATAATAATAGGCGTTCGTCTACATTGCAAATAGATACGGCATCAGACGTCACCATTCTCTCACTTTAAATTGAGACCAAAATGGGTCGCCCAAACATGCAGCGAACAACACAAAAGCCTCGTACTCTATGTGGTAATTACCTTTGCTTTTTAGGACGATTGGAACGCAAAGTTGATTTCTGAGATTCGACATTTACTGGGATATGTTATGTAACGCCAGCTGATCTAAATTTACTTGTTTTAGATTGGTTTGACCAGCTAAAATTAGCTGATGTCCCGTTAAATACCAAATGCCACCTGGTATCACTACCACATGACCCCGAAGCCTATACGAGGAAGCTATTGACGTAGTTATCAACCATTTTCCAACCTGGATCAGGTCGGTGTACTGCCATGAAAGCAACACTTTGGTTAAAACCTGGGGCTAAGCCTGTTTTCCGTCCAAAGTGACCCGTATCTTATGCACAATTCCGAACAGTAGATGAATTGAATCGCCTTTAACAACAAGGATTTATTACGACCGTTTGTTACTCTGCTTGGACAGAACCTATAGTTGTTACCAAGAAGGCCAACGGCACGATACGTATATGTGCTGACTTTTTTACAGATTTCAATGCAGCTCTGGAACAGCGTTATAATCCTCTGCCAGGTCACGCAGATCTGTTTACTATGCTGAATTGGGGAATGTTTTTCGCAAAACTTGATCTTGCTGATGCTTATTTGCAAATGGAAGTGGATGAAGCATCAAGAGAGCTGCTTACTATCAATACTCATTGTGGTTTGTTTCAGTATAATCGTCTGCCTTCTGAAGTCGAGACTGCCCCATCAATCTTCCAGCAACTAATGGATACCATCCTATCAGGTATTTCGGCAGTTGTGACTTGTCCCGATGACATTAGAACAGCTACAGGAACGCACGACGTTGGTACTGCGACGCATCAGTGACAATGGTTTCCGGTTATGTCCAGAAGAATGCCAGTTTTTCTTGTAGTTGGTAAAGTATTTGGGGTTCATCTTTGATGCTGACGGGCTCAGACCGGATCCTGAGAACTGAAGCCCACTCCCACTAATGTCTTGGCACTACGATTTTTTCTGGCATTAATCAGCTATTGCTTAGCGTTCGTTCCTTCGACGCATAATATTCGGGCTCCATTGAATTGTTCTACTGAAGAAGAACAGCACTTGGAACTGGACTAAAGAATGTGACACAGCGCTTTGTAAACTCAAGTCCATAATTAGCTCGGAATTGTTGACAACACACCACGATCCATCCCTGCCGATCATCGTAGCTGCAGACGCAAAAATGCAAGCATATTCGGGATGCGGTTCTCCCCCTCGAAATGCAAAATGTTACTTCAGAATTGGCTTGCGTCGGCATCTGAACTAGTGATAGGGAGTGAGTAGTTGAACGTGTCGACTTCTTTCCTTATTTCGCGAGTCTCATCAGTGCTGATGAACTGGTGACTGACGAAATTTCAGCATGGATACATTAGGCTCGACCGGCGCATGCCGACCTGCATCACTTATGGCGTCGGTGAGATATGCGTCTGCTAACCAAAGAACGAGTGTACTGAGCAGCAGTTCGCTCTATGCTACTATATGGATGTGAAACGTGTCCGGTAAGACTTGATGATATTCGTAGGTTATTAGTATTCGATTATAGATGTCTTCGAAGCATTGCTCGTATATCCTGGGACAATGAATAAGCAATGCTATAGTTGAGTAAGCAATCCTATAGTTAGGAAACGAGTACTAGATAAGGATGGCAGATCAATTGATGAAGTAGTGAAACTCTATCAGTTGAGGTGGTTGGGACATGTGTTGCGTATGCCCAACCACCGACTGTCTCAACGAGCTATGTTTTGTAGTGTAGGAGTAGTGGGTTGGAGAAGAGCTATGAGGTGCGAAACCAAAACATAGCACAAATCCACGAAGTCAATGATAAGTGGACTGGGTCATTTTGGTAGATGTAGGCTACCAGGTTTGTGTCCGCGAGGTGATAGTAATCAATGCTTAGAGACCTTGAACGACATGGCTCAAAATTGTTTGCAATGGTGCAGGTGTATTCATTCATTGTGTTCTCTCTAATTCCAACCTTCTGAGTTCCTCATCATCCCTTTTTCTCTTTCTAAAGCCATCTCACTGAACTATACTTCGATCCCTAGTATTCTCCATTACTGCTAATACTTCTACTATCGCTACTACTATGGAATTGGAACTGACAGTTGCGCCTATGTGCTGATGCGCTATGGCAACATGAACTTATGTAGGTACGTACGAATTCCTACATTGTAACTGACTGATTGAAGGGAAGGGATTAGAAAAGATCGACCCTAAAAATATCACACCTCACCTTGCCTCACAGATTTCTGTCTCCTGCGGTAAGGCCGTTTGAAGAATGTGGAGCTAGCACATTAAAAATTCATAGAAAGCTCGTGAATGACCTGCCTTAAGCGGCTGTCCGTTGGGCTCTGCGGTCACGCTCCCAGGTCGTTCAGACCATTACTAACCCGAGTTTCTCTTCAGGTTCCTCAAGATACACCCTTCCACGGTGTGGACAACCGGGTAGTGACATCCGCTCTCATACCCGCAACCGCACGCGTTACCAAATTGGTCACAATCAAACCCTTCTTACACCCCTAATTTCTCTCTTATCTCCACGACTCACCCTTCTCACATTCCTTTGTCACCCCGCACCGTTAATGCAAACGTTTCGAGCTCACAAGACGTTATTCCCGGTCCCCTGAAACCGCGACCCAAACTACATGTTGGAGCTGTTAATGTTCGAACCTTGTTTCAAATAGGACAACAGGCTTCTTTAGCCGTTGCTTCTTCGTCGTATTTGGTTACGCTCCCACTGACTGCAGTTCAGACGAGGTTTTACAGAAAGCTTTGGACCTCTACCAAAAAATTCGGCGCTCTGATATATAGTAATAGTAACTGGTGACTTCAATGCTCAAGTAAGTAAACTAACTGAAAAGGAAAGACACCTAGGTGGATCTTATGGTGTCGTTGCTCAGAGAACAGATAATGGCGACCGTCTGCTGCAGCTGTGCTCAAATAACCGCCCATTTCTATCAAATGCTAACTTTTAGTACAAGGAATGACATATTTCGACATGACGACCCCCAAAGCCGTTCATACGCTGTACACAACTAGATCACATCGCTATCAACCACCTGAAGGAGAGGTTCGACAGAGGAATGTCGCTCGTTCCGGAGCACATGTTTAGATTCAAATCATGCTCTAGTGCAAGCGCATTTTTGTTTGCGGCTTACTAGACGTAGGAAAAACACCGCGAGGGGACCTCTTCGGGTTCTACTTAATGATGTCATAGCTAAGAATACATTTCAGGAGCAACTAGAAAGATGGTTAGGCGGCCATGTTACTGATTCCCACCGCGAGGCAGCTTGGGACGATATCAGGAAGCTGTGGAAACAGCAGTGATATCTGCTAGTAAGGTAAACTACAAGGTTAGGGAGAAGAGGTAGATCTCATTAGCACCTGCCGAACTGATAGTAGCTCGGAGACTCGTCCCGTCTTGCTCTGAACATGACGAAGAGCGAAGTCAGCCTAATAGCAGGCTGATGAAATGCCTGCGCGATGATCGCGAACAGTGGCGGGTAGAGAAAGTGAGAGCGATAGACAGCTGTCCCGCCTTATCAAGGGAACTGATACTAAAAATCCATCTGTTAGCGAAACTATCTCACTCTATGTAGCTGGAAAAGCTATAGGAAATCTGAAGTGAGGGAGAGCAGCAGGTCCTGACGAGCTTATTCCTGAGATTTTTGAGGATGGTGGTCCAGTTTTAGCAGTCAGATTGACTAAGATCTTGGGTAGAATTTAGGAACTGAGCATAATCCCATCTGACTGGCCTCAATCACAAAAGTCTTGTGAAAATCACAGAGGAATCAGTCTAAATACCATAGCGTCCAAAATATAGGCTTTAATAATACTTCGACGCCTAACTAGAGCTCTTGAAGAGCAGACTCTAGAAAACCAGGCTGGTCTTTGATCTGGACGTGGCTGTATAGACCACATATTCACACTACGTCAGGTCCTAGAACATTGACACAAATTTAGTCGTCCGACAATAGTTGTTTTCCTTGACCTTAAAGCGACATTCGGCTCTATGGACGGTGAGGTTCTCTGGCAATGTCTGTCATTAAAAGGTGCACCAAAGAAGTACGTTGACCTTACAAAAGCTTTCTACTCCGACACTACTGGTCGAGTGAGAGCTTACGACTAACTGTCATCGGAATTCATTACTTCAAGTGGTGTCCGTCAGGGATGTCCACTCTCCCCATTCTTGTTTAACTTTGTCATAGACATACTTTTAGAGTTAACATTATCTTCGTGTGACTTTTCAGGGTTTGACCTTCTACCAGGAGACACGCTTGATTGAATAATCTTCGAACTCTTATTTTCTCTATTACCGCTAATACTTCTACTATCTCTATCACGATGAGATTTGTATTGACACTTGCATCTTTGTGCTAATGTGAAATGGTAACCTGGACTTGTGTACGTACGTATGAATTTCTGCATTGCAACTGACTGACTCACTACATAAATATATATGTAATTATAGATTAATGAGTGATATTTGTGGTCGATTTCGACAACTTGTTATTATTCAGCCTTGTTTCCATTCATATTTTGTAATCATACCTTAGGTAACTCGTACATGTCAAAGGTTTTTAGTATAGCTTTAGAACAAAAGTGTATTGGCTCACATGTTATTCACTATCAGACGTAAACGAACAGTGTTTCTCTACTTACGACATAAGGTTGGTATATACATTCCAAACTCTTACTTATAAATATCCGTTTTTCACCTGTTATTTTCAGTCGATTCATGAAGATGTTTATGAATTGAAGTTACCAAAAGTCGACATTTCAAATACATCCTATGCTTCTTTAATATCAAAGTTCAAGAAAATTAATGAGATGTGAGTTCACTGATGTGATAATTTTCGAATTTTAATTGAAATGCAAACTGCCTTTTAATGTGTTGTTCTTCGGTTGTGATCACTGTGAACTGAACCCTAATCTCGCCGATTATTTCTAATACTTCTACTACATCTACTACTATGGGATCCTAATTGACAATTGTTTATCTGTGCTGGTGTGGTATGGCAACCTCAACTGATGTACGTACGTACGAAGTTCTGCGTTGTAACTGACTGACTGACCAACTGACTTACTGAATTATTTGTTGATACAAAGTAGTAAATGTTCTAAATTCACCATTTCTGTTAATTATCTATCAAATGGATTGGATTCTTGTTTCATGTAGCACGTAATTACTTTTGTTGATTGCCCCACACGGTAATGGCGTAGAAATGTAAATTACTAAACAATTAATTTGTTCTAGACGCTTAACTTAAAAAATGTTCTGCAGAGTTCTAATTACAGCAATAGAACTATCATTTTATATACTATTAGTTGGTGACTTAACCATTGGGGAATAATTACAGTATTCAAGTGTTATATTATTTACTTTTGATTTTACAGATTATTTTGTAACCCAATGAAAACATCGAGTGAATTATACAGACGTTAGGTGTGGGTTAAAACGTGACACTGGTAAATCAGTTGTTGAGGCTTTGAACATTTGTTGACTATTGTAGTTGAGACTCTAGTGAAGGAGAACACAGTTGAGGGCGACCGAATTGTATTTAACGAAAATTACTGAGTTACTCAGTAAAATAGGAAAACCATATCGTAACCGTTAATTTGCAAATCTTCAATCCATCATCAATCCATTGTCTGACATTTCACTATTCATGCGTTTCATACAAATTCCATTGTGTTCCCACTCTTCCTTTCTTGATCTTCCCCTATCTTCTGCTGCCAGACATTACGTTTACACTCGCGTCATATACTACTTATAAGTAGCGCGCACCACACTCGTCCCCCCTTTTAATAAGCTGTCGTCGTAGTCTTTCTGATTGCCGTACCGTTGTCATCTTTGGTGCTTTCCGTGACTCATACACTTGATAATCTTGAAACCATCTCTGCAGTTGACTAGCATTTGCGCGCTTCTGCTTGTCTTCTCTCCGGATCGTGTAAACTGCGCCGCGTCTCTCCGTGATAACGTACGGTCCTTTACACTTTGGGATCATCAAAATCAATGGTAACTCTTTCTCCCAATCTCCTCCTTTAGATGATAACCATTCCTTTAACGTCCTTATTGTATCATTATAGGGCTGCAGCTGTTGCAGCTGCAAATCGTGCTACTGCTGCCTCTGATGTACAGTCTTCTGTCACTATTCCTGAGATACAAACAGAAACAGAGCGTCCTCTTTGCGACCTTGAGGAGGTGGATAGTAGTTCTTCGGAAGGCCTGAAAGACAATAACAGACCTTCGGATTCAGAAAAAACAAGGACTCCTTCACCACAACATGAAGTGCAAGCCGAGGTCTCTGCAACTCGTGAAAATGCTGTTGATATTTCATTCGTTTCTACAGACAATGTCACTTCAGAATTAGTAGATCCTTTATCTCCCGAAGAGTATGAGCGTATTTATCAGGAGTATTATAAACACTATTATACCCACTACTACACACATTATTCCAACCAATGGGCTTTATCTGAACATATCAACGATGAAAGTTTCAATATTGTTCAAGAAGCAGCCAAGGCAGCTGCTATAGCAGCTGCGGCTGCAGTCAATGTTGTCCAACAAACCCGTCTAAAAGCCAATGCTCCGGTGATATTTGAGTAAGTTTTCCTTACTATTATAAATACTATTACTACTGTTGTTATTTTAATCAATAGTAACTGTGAAAACAGTATTATATACTTATAGTTCAGAGCGTATTGTTTTGTTCTGGTATTTTGTCGTTAAGATCATTCAGTAAACCTTGGTATTTCCAGATGTATTTAGTGCATTTTTCGCTTATGTTAATGTTCTGCTGGTTAAGTGAATGCGATATTCAATGCGACATTTCTTAGAGGAAAGCAAAGCAATTGGTCTGCGTCATTACAATCTAGTTTCAGTTATATCGTCAAAGGTTTCTCAACACTCTTGTCGAAGATATGATAGTTTTCAACCGTAAACTTTGCAGTTTACTTCACATCTTAGAAATTTTATCTCTTTTTAGGTAGATTAGTTACAGGTCACTATATAGGTTTTCTTAATTACATTAGGTGTCCGGAATAAATTCCACCTTGTGACATAACAGTGTGGTTAGTTTAATTAACTTAGATTCGTTATCTATCAACTAAATTATCTTTTATGGTTTCAACACAACGTTACTCCAATATTTCTGTTGGAATAAATATACTATATGTATGCAATATTTCAAGAAAACCTCAAGTTTATCACTTGTCAGTCTTTACACGTTTTTGCTTTTTAATGGATAATATGAAATTAAATAAGGTTTTTGTGAATATTTATTTGAAGGTACGTGACCTGTATAGAGATGTGTTTCCGGTTGTCAATAATCGCTTTTACTTTACTCATTTCTTCAGTTTTGCGATGTAGATTAGAAGTAAAATGTTTAAAAGCTTATATATCAGTATTAGAATATTCAGCAACATTATAAAAATTTATATATATATATATATATATATATATATATATATATATATATATATATATATATAATTGTTCGCGTATTCTATAACAACGCCATTTTTATGTTTTGATATTCCTTGCAGACCTCCACTGAGTGATGAACAGCGTGGTATCATAAATAAAATGGCAGAATATGTTGTTCGTAATGGTTTAGAATTTGAAGAACTAGTCATTCGTCAGAAAAGTAAAGATCCACGATTCGGATTTCTAAAATCAGATCATCCTTTGCATTCGTTTTACATGGCTAAACGAAAAGAACTGGATCCTGATGATAGTTTGACTAAAGCTGCAGATTCAAATTTTAATAATATTCCTCCACCAAAATCATCTAAAGTAAGCTCATCAAAAAAATCAGATTCAGCTGAGAAACCAGAAACAATGTTTCAAGGTAAAGCAAAGAATGATTCACCTAGTAAGTAGTTTGGATGATAAATTTTATCTGTTTCTGTGAATATCACTGTACAAAATTTTATTAACAGCTAGAAATTATCAGTTTCTTAGAAAGTTTTTGGCCCCATTTAGACCAGTCAATTTTTCATTTTTTTTCGGTCAAAAATGAAAAGTACCTATGTTAAGAGATTTTAATCAACGATTCTCGTGGTTGAATTTCGTATTGCAAGTCCCTTTCGACCATTCTGACCGCGATATGAGTTTTAAATTGCTAAAAGAGTTTCTTTCTTTGTATTTTTGTGCCATCAGTATTCCACTAGTCTTGGAATAAGTTATGTTACATTATTTGTGATTAACGAATTTGCCGTCATAGCGTAAACTCGAATTTAGTTGATGTTACGTATATTTATTGCGAAAGTCTTGTCATAAACACAGTACTAATTAACTCACGGATTTATCCATCTTTTGATCCATCTATTTACTGTAATGGGTTATGCATGCACTTTCAACGTTGACCGTAACTAGGAAAAATCATCTCTTGTACCTTTAATTGTGGGATTCATTTTTGATTTACTTGATTAGTAATTAGTAAGCATTTGTGATATTGTGTTATGATATTCACCAAATATCCTTAGAGGATTATTTGTAAGTCTACTTCTATTGGTCAGTTCCTGTTGGTCGTCCTAACTATCAATATCACGTACTTCAATGTTGTTTCCTTTTCGACCTAACTGTATAAATATGCATTATCTGTAACGTTTTATGACCCGGATCCTTAGTCCGGGATTCTTAGTCTCTTGTGGACTCGGACTTCGTACTTTCTGGATGTTTGTAGAATACACGTTCTACTTCATTTCAAGTCTTCTATTTAGTGGGGCTTTGAGACACTCAGATTACAGTAACCTGTCATATCACCGGATCATCGATCCTCTCTCTCGTTCAGCGACTAAGGGAACTCGTAATATTTCAAGCCTATCGAATGACGTGTTGTCTTGCGTGCGCAACATATTGTAAAGGTTTTATCTCACAGAGGAAAATCGAATCAAATGTTTCCTTTAAATTTACTATACATAGGATGAATCAGTGTGCATGTCTTGTTGAGTTCTGTGTTCATTGTTTTCGAGGTCAGTAGAAAAATTTCCAAGACTTACATCATTACATTTTGAAGAATGAACTTGATGGACAATAAGAGACTAGCTAAATAAGTAGTTTTGATCACAATCATAACTGGTCCTGAATTGTGAAATTCAACAGATAAACTAAAAACTATAAGGACTGGGTTCTAGCAACTGGTAGTTATCTGGGTCACGAGTTTGTGAAAGGAAGGCTTTACTCTGCAAACTAGACTAGTCTTCATTCGCATCTTTAGTGACATATATTTCCCTGGAGTTATTAGTTTTCCGGATAGATTAAAGTGTTATCTCAGCAAGTTAAAGGTACACTACCACATACTATTTTGTATTCACACCTCAAAACCGTAACTGATTTCAGAACATAACATATATTGTAAATAAACTCTGTGTTATACAATTATCGTTGCTACCATCCAAAAGCAATCGGCCGTACTTGGTTATTTGTAGAGTCGTTTAATTTAGGTAGATCTTACCTGGTTACATTTTAGCTTCCACATGAGGCTTAAATTCTTCAAATTGCCAATTGGGAAAATTCAGATGGTAGTGTAGTGTTTAAGAGATAAAGAATTTTCTAATACCTCAGTGTTCTGTTTCAATGATTTCTAAAGTAAACTAATGCACTATTTTGCAGTGCTTCATTCTTTTTCTCAGTTGAGGTATTTCTGTTGTGTCACACAAAAGTAAGGATTTATCTCAAATATTGTTTGTGATCAACCAGTACCAAGCCGTTATATATTTGAAGTTAACTTCTGATTTCACTCTTTTTGTAACCTCCATGCCTATACGTCAGCTTAGTTCTCCATAATAGTCAATCTGATTAATTCAAAGTCATTTGTAGGATTTTTTCTCAAGGTGTGATTTCTTATTTGTCCCATATATTTCTGTTCAATACATTTTAACATTTCTTTTACAGAAAATCTTCAGTCTTCAGATCCTCGTAAGGAAAAAAAGGATGATTTGGAGGCCTATAATTCGGAACGTCAAACAGGTATCAGTTTCCGATTGGCTCGTCCGATTCCACCCAAATCTCAATCCACTCAAAATACAGAAGCGTCAGCGGGAGAAATTATGGACATAATTGAAGCCGCTGCACTAGAGTACTCAGAGTCTGTTTCTAAAAGTTCAAAACGAACTGAGGAACAACTTAGTAGGTTATTGAGTCATTCAAAAAGTAACAATCAGTTAAAATCAAAGAAGAGAAAAACTCATTCTCCGAATATGCATGTAATACCTGGTATTCCTAGTCCGAGCTCATCGTCTTCCTCGGAATCATCTCCGCTTCAAGCTGGAAGTCCATGCTCTTATACAAATCGTTCTAGTGACGCTTCAAATTCAAATTCTGTTTGTACATCACCCTCCATATCCGTTGAGCGACACGATAGAAATAAACCGCTGCATAACATTCAGTCTACTGTTCAATCTCTTTGTAACATCAGTTCACCTTATGACAATAATTTATGTTCGCCTGTGGAGTCAGTATCTAATTCAAGTTCACACTTAACTTCCAACTGGCCTTCTTGTGCTCTTGAAGATTTATTAGGCAAGCACAGTACTTGTTTTTGATTAATATTTGTATGCAAAATATTTCCGTTTCTTAGTTTCATTGTCATACTTTTTAATGCGATATAACATACTTTCAAAGCGATTTTGCTAACTTATTTTATTACATCTTCCTTAAAATAATAGATATACACGAACCTACTAGTCTTCTAGACTTCTCTGCCGATGGTTATCAAGTTACGATCCCTACAGCTAAAGAGGAGCGTCTGCGTGAGGAAAGGCGTAAAAAAGCTGCTCAGCTGGTTACTCAGTTGAAGTTAACTAATTCTATAACTAAAGCAAACACAGATACCAGTACAACAATGTCTAGATCTTCGACAGTTGATACTGCATCAACAACAGTTAATCGATATCGTTCGTCACCCCCACCAGCTCCTGACTCAGTTCCTGCGGCTGTTGCTCATGCTGTAGTCGCTAACATGAAACGTCATCGAGAAGCCTTGGAAATCGAAAACAAAGTATGTTGATGCTTTTGGTTTTTTTAATGCATAAATATTTTACTGGCCAAAAGTTCCTTCACACTAACGGTATAATAATACACCAATACATTTTGTTAATGCTTAAATTTATCCACTTTATCCCAACGTAAAAACTCTATCATAATATGCAAATTTTACCTCTTTGTAGGCTCGTAAAAGGCGTCATCGTTCACCACCAGCCGCTTATGCACTTACGCGTAATCGAATGCCTGACAGATCTCCAAGGGGATCACCAACTCCTAAATGTGATTCTTATAGTCGTGAAGGCCCAAGAGATTGGGACGATCATCATTTGAAGTCCAAGAAAAAACATAAGAAATCTCATTACTAGTTACGTTGTAAAAACTTAAATGTAAACAAATGTACATATTTATATTATATTGTGATCGTGTATTATTACGCAGAAATGTGATTCTCTTGGATCTTTTTTTCCCTCAATTCTGAGCATACGAAAAATAATCCTGTATAAGCTACAACAGTATAACAATTTTTCAAACTGTTCGATTTGTATAATATATACGTAATACTAGTAGAATTTGTTTCTAAACAACCTTGATCTGTACTGACTGTCAGTTCATTTTGTTTACATTTCAACTATTCTGGCATCCCTGATCAAGATTATGTTACTTATTTAGCATGTGAATAATATTTTAGCTGGATTTTAGGTTGTCATTGTTGTAGTATTTGTAGTTGATTCTCTTCACGGCTTATTTCGTTAAGAGGGTGGGGGAAGTCCCCAGGAAAATCAGAATAAAAGTTCCATTTAGCTTAGGTTTGTCATTTAAAAGGGGAAAATACTATTTGATTCTCTATGTTTGTATTCAAAGTCATCAGATTTTTTTCTAATAGGACTAGTGCAAATAGATATCTCAGTTATTCTCCCGTGGTTTGGGTTATTTTTTTTATAATTGCAGGATTGTTAGATTCATTAGTTATGCATAATGTATGTACTATTTACAGAACACTAATAACTTGGTCGGTCAGCTTGCAACTTTCACCATAGTGTTTTATTAAGATACTTAAAACGTAGCATATTGACGCAAATGATAGCATGATACTATTCATCCATCACCAGTAAATACATGTGAATACCGACTGTTGAAGTTGTATTTTACGAACTAATTGACGTTTCGATAATGATACGAGAGTTAAAATGTAAAGAACATGCAACATATAACAGTTGAAGTTTCTTCACGATAACACATTACCTAAACCCATTTATTCATACAGAGATATCAGTACAAATTTAAAATAGGTCCAAACATAGAACGTAGATGTGTTAAAATGTAAGAAATATGATTATCAAGTATGGTCATTGCGTAACCACGTCAACAGATTAAGACTTCAATTATAAGGTATCATCACCTTTACAATGATAACTTTTCTTTGCGATATTCTTTGATTATATTGATCAAATTATCAGTCAAATGGTACGGAAAAAGGTTTATTATGAAGTGTTCCTGAGTATTGTTCAAGGTATGGAACCGCTTGTCATTTCTTAGATGCTTATCCTGTCAGTGGACGCCTTATGAAGTACGCGGCAACGAAACTAGGTTAGGTGACCTTGCTGACGTGGGGTGTGTGCAACCATGTCCATAGGATGGTTGCTTCTGGCGGGCCACAAATGACATTTTTCTGGAGGTTCTAGATATTTTAGTTTCATGCTTTAGAACCCTTACTGCCATCCGTGTAGTTACTCAAAATCTGCTATTAGGGTCAACTTTTTCTAACCCTTTCTATTTTAGGAAGCTAGTGTCTCTGTGAATGCATTTTATCTGAGGACAACTCTTTGTTGCCATCACTAGCCAGAACAGCCGGCAACATGGCTTTGTTCTGCAACGATAAGTTGCTGCCTTTAGCCAACCTATTTTACTTACTAAGGCCAATGACAACAGATGTTCCAACCAATATACCGGGCCATCAGAATATGCAATCCTAACTAGCACGTCAAGTTATTATCTACATTTGTGTAGTTATTTAATTAGTAGGCAACGTAAGTATAAAAATTGCAATAGGATTTTCTGATTTTGTCACTTTTTCGTTTAGCGATAGACATGAATTTTAACAGTCTATGCATGTTTGAACCAAGAGACAAAATGTCACTAAAAATTTCGATCAATAAGGCGAAAATTAAATCATGCTACTCTCTTAAACTTGATTTTGTTTTTATTTTTAAAATTAGCTGGGTATACTATTTTTATTCATAAACTCTGGTATGTGTTGATTTTAAGGTGTACATAAAATCAATATTTGAGCAATAGTGAACTACTCAAGAATGCTCTGTTCTTGTTAGGAATGTTTATACATTTTTTTTTACCGGAATTCATAAAATGTATACATTATATTCTAATGGTTAATTTAATGATAAAAACAAAAGTTACTTATTACATCGAAATTTTACTTGGACTGCTCCGTTAGAGTAGTTGTGACATAAAATGTTGAGAAGAAACCTTAGTACGATGGATGTATGTAGGTGGATGGAGTCACTGCTTTGGAAATAGTTACATAAGCTCTATCTAGTATACCCTACTCTTGAATATTAAAAGCAGATGAATTATTGATTTTGAAAGTCGACAGACAATGAGTTACTTTGCTATCTACCATATGTTGGGTACAGTCGTAAGAGTGATTCATAATGTCAGAAGACACTTGGTTGCGCCTCTTGTTCACTGTATGATTTGCCGAAATTAATCACGAATAAGTTGGTAATATTTCATTGGTTTGTTCCTAAAGATATGTGTCTATCTATTCGTGCGTGCTAATGGCAGTTTATCAAGTGAGGTCAATAGACACATTACAAAAGTATTAACGTCTTGTGCCAAAATGGATCATCTTTGACACTATCACGACGCTAGTTTGTCTTTAAAATAGGTTCTGAATGCTTCAATATGGGCAGTTCTAATTGATGTAAAACTTAACTCTTCGAAGTTGAGAGCATTCAATTAACGTTTAATAAAGTGTTCGCATTTATAGAAGGACAGTACAAATGATGCTTGAATTTGATGTTGAGATTTGAAACCATCTGGACACATTTGAGGTGTTTCCTTATTTGTTTCTATTCCACATGTCGACTAACATATAAAGAAATGGAGTGAATAATATCTGTGTACAGTCATATCCGTTTCGTTCTAAATATAGTGCAACTCACTGTTAATCACATGCAACGTAGAACTTCGTACATACGTACATCAGTTCATGTTGCCATACCACATTAGCACAGAGGTATAATTGCCAATTCAAATCCAATAGTAGTAGAGGTAGTAAAGGTATTAGCAGTAGTCGGAGAGGTTAGGATTAGAAGATATTATTCATGAAGTAGAATCTAGTGAAATAGACTTAAAAAGATAAGGATAAAGTGATGAATAATTAAAAAGTTTAGGATTTGAGAGAACACAAATAATAAATGCACCGGCGCCATTGCAAACGATTTCGAGCCATGTCATTCAGGGTCTCTAACCATCGATTATTATCATCTCGCGGACCCCAACCAGGTGATCGACACCTACCGACATGACCCAGTCCACTCGTCAATGACTTCATGGATTTATGCCATGTTTTGGTATGGCCGCCCCTAACTTTCTTCCAACCTATTCCTACATGACAAAGCAAAGCTCGTCGAGGCAATCGGTGGTTAGGCATACGCAGCACATGTCCCAACCACCTAAAATGATGAAGTTTCAATATTTCATCTATTGATTTGCCATCCTTAACTAGCACCCGTTTCCTAATAACAGCGTTGCTCACTCGAGTGTCCCAGGATACACGACCAATGCTTCTAAGACACCTATGATCGAAAACCAGCAACCTACGAATATCTCTCACTGGCCATGTTTCACAGCCATAAAGTTAGACGGAGCGACCTACTGCACAGTAGACTCGTCCTTTAGTCAGCAAACGGATATCTCGCCTGCGCCATAAGTGATGCAGGTTGGCAAAAGCCAATCGAGCTTTCTGTATTCATGCTGAGATTTCGTCAGTCACCAGGCCATCAGCACTGATGAGACTCCCAAGATAAATGAAGCGGTCTACACGTTCGACTACTTCACTCCCTTTCACTAGTTCAGGTACCGATGCAACCCAATCAACATTTTGCATTTCGAGGGTGAAAACCGCATCGCGAACATGCTTGCATTGTTGCTTAGAGTAGTCAGAAGACTCTGCATTTTGTCAGCGTCTTCACCAAGTAGGACTGTCATCGGCATATTCTAAGTCAGCAAGCGATTTTCCTGGTAGAAGTTCTACTCGGACGAAAATGATGTTATATCTAGGAGCATGTCTATGATAAAATTAAACAAGCATGGAGAGAGTGGACATCCCTGACGGATACCACTTGAAGTAAAGAATTCCGGTGACAGTTCGCGTAGAGTGCTTGTATAAGGTTAATGTACTTCTCTAGTACACCTTTCAATGATAGACACTGCCACGGAACCTCACGATTCACAGAGTCAAATGCCGCCTTAAGGTCCAGGAAAACAACTATTGTGGGACGCTTAAATGTGTGTATGTGTTCCAGGACCTATCGTAATATGGAAATGTGGTCTATACAGCCACGTCTAGATCAAAAACCAGCCTGGTTTTCTCGAGTCTGCTCTTCACGAGTTTTCGTTAAGCGTCGAAGTATTATTGAGGCCAAGATTTTAGATACTATATACTAGTTAGACTGATTCCTCTGTGATTGTCACAAGAGGACTTTTGTCCTTTCATATAGATTGGGACAATCAATGATTGAAACCAGTCGGATGGGATTATGCCCAGTTCCCTAAGATCTCAGTCAACCTAGCTGCTAAAACTGGACCGCCATCCTTAAATATCTCAGGGGTCAGTCTATCAGGACCTGCAGCTCGCTTCAGATTTCCTAACGCTTTCTCAACTTCATAAAGACTAGGGGCACTTACGTCGACTGGACATCGTGGGTAACCGAAATGTGGCAGAATGCCATTTGAACTGATCCCTAAAGTGTTCTGCCCATCGATCCAACCTCCTGGATCGAGAATGGATAATAAGACCATCCTTTTCCGAAATAGTCCCACTCACATTCGGGTTCCTAATACCAGTTTCCTTGATGAGTCTGAATAGTTGCATACTGTCGCCTATCACCGTTGCCTTTTCCATCACTCTCACTTTCTCCACCCAGCACTGTTCTCGATAATTGCGCAGGCTTTTTATCAGTCTACGTCTAAGCTGACTCTGCTCCTCATCGCACTCAGAGCCAGGCGGGATGAGTTTTCGAGCATCCATCAGTTCGGTAGATGCTACTGAGATCCACGGCTTCATTCTAGCCTTATGGTTTGTTTACCTTATAAGCAGATATCACTGCTATTTCCACAACCTTTTTGATTTCTCTCCAACCTGCTTCCGGATGGGAATCGCTTACATGGTTGCCTAACTGTCTTTCTAGTTGTTCCTGAAATATATTCTTCGCCCTATTATCATTAAGTAAAACCATAAGAGGCTTTCTTACGGTGTCTTTCCTACGTCCAGTAAGTCTAAAACAAATACGCTATCGTACTAGGGCATGAGCTGAATCTAAACATGTGCCTCAGAACGAGCAGCAGTCCTCTATAGAATCCCTCCATCGGTGGCTGATGGCAATGTGGTCTAGTTGCGTCCAACGTTGAGACGACTTTGGAGGTCGCCAGGTCAAGAGTTGATTTTCCTCATGCCTAAAGTTTATGTTTGCTAGAAATAGTTGGTTATCTGAGCATACTTGAAACAGACGGTCGTCATTACCTGCTCTCTGAGTCGCGACACCATAGCATCCACCCAGGTGACTTTCATTGTCACTGAGTCTACCTACTTGAGCATTAAAGTCACCAGATATTATCACTATATCAGAGCGCCTAGATTTTTGGAGGAGGTACGAAAGCCTTCTTTAAAACTCATCTTTCACCTCGTCTGAACTGCAGTCAGTAAATCGAAACGCTTCTTTATTTTGACAAGGTGAAATCAGATTATTAGTTTTACTAGGATCCGAGATGCAGCATACATTGATGACACGAGATTCTTAAGTCCTGGCCAACGAAGCCTGTTGCCCTATTTGACACAATGTCCGTACATTAAAAGCTCCAACATGTAGTACAGAACGTGGTTTCAGGAGACAAGAAGTGACGTTTCGTGAACTCGCATCTTTTGCATTAGCTGTGCAATGTGATAAAGGAATGTGAGAAGAGTTAGTCGTAGAGATAAGAGAGGTATTAGGGGGTGTAGGAAGGATTTGATTTTGACCAATTCGGTTTCGTGTGCTATTACGGTTATGAGGGCGGTTGTCACTTCTCAGCTGCTCACACTGCGTAAGGGACCTGAGGGACCTGAAAAGGAAGATAGATTAGTGTTGGTCTTAGAGACCTAGGAGTGCGACCAGAGTCCAAGAGATAAATGCTTGAGGCCGGTTACGCACGGCCTTTTTATGAAAGGTTTTTTGAGTATTAGCTCCGCTCTAAAAAACCCTTAGTGGGCACCCTTACCGTCGGAGACGTTACTCATTGGTCTAGTGATGTATCAATTGCTTCTTAAAATAATAGCATGCGAAGGTCATTCTGTATTTTTTATACTCTTTATAAACAGTAAAATGTACGTTTCGATTGATCGAAATCTACCTCCTTTTGATTAGTAACCCTCATTACTTCCCTTTTGTTTATATTCGATCTTTTCTCATGGTATAACATGGAATTTTGTTTTAGACTATGATAGAATTCTTTACCTAACTCTATTAATTACCCATAAAGCTGTATTTTGTGATGAGCTAGCTCGATTGTGTTTAAACAGTGTCCATAAATGAGAATGTGGTTAATTAATAACGGTAAAATTGTAACAGCTTTCATAGCAACGCGATGACAGTATGCAGATTCGGAAGTTGTTTCTAGCCCGAATTTAGCGCATTTGTAATAGAACATATTAAGCACTGAAGTTGTTTATAGATTTCATAATGAGTTTTTGCATAATTAAGAAACTAAATTTCAAGAGACAGAAGATCGTCTACTGATAAGAAATATAATCCTTCATACGGATCCACACATAACATTTTCATTATAATGAAAATTCGCCAATTATCAATTATCAATTACAGTAATTCGAAGTTAAGGCTCTTTTCAGCTGAGTGTCGTTATTTTCACTAAAACACCGAGTTTATTTGACGAAATAATAAATTCACAATTAAGCAGGGTTAAAAAAGTACATGGTGATAAAGGTCAATGATTCAGCAACAACGACAATAGTATTTCTGATAGCATTAATCAGTAGTATAGTTAGTGTTAAAGCTTGTTAAGTTTACTGGAACGAAAGTCTCGGTATAAGCAAAAACAAACGTAATTAATACATAGAATTGTCAAGTGAAATAGGCGATTTGTTTGTTATTTTTGTTTACATAACATTTTAAATAAATAATAATAATAATAAATAAATAATAATTTCCTCTCTTCTTTTCTCTGTTTAAATTGCACACCGGTTTGTTAAAAAGTGAATTAACATTTAAAGCATTATTTCATGAAATTGTAAAAATATTTCCAATTCTGAAGGTGTGAAAATTCCGTCTCCTGATTATTAAATTTTCAAAAAATTACGAGAAATAAGTTGATTTTATTTATTTAATTAAGAAGCATAATTAGAAATACAAATGAAACAAACAATATTTATAAATTACCCCATCCTTAAACAACTGACTTGAGCTATTTACTGACTATTCTTCACGAACGATCTACGCTTCTGAGTTTGGAAACATTATTCAACATGTGAATAGATTTACTTAACAAGTAGAACTTAAACGAACTTCATTTAAGTGTACATGGCTCAACTGAGCACTTTAATGAACAAAACCAAAATTATCTCATTATCCTGTAGCCTTCTTCAATCAGACATTAAAAATACATATACAAGCAAAGTTTCAAGTATATTTCATGGTTTTACGGTTGATAAAAGAATGAGAGGTGTTTGGATATTTGTCGGACGATTTACTGTACGTTTAAGAATCAGTTGGTGAGGATGAAGTTTTTAGGAAATTACTCGTGAAATCTTTTGACATATTAGTTTAAAATAAATCCTTTTTTCAAATAAAATTCTGGTCAATCTGTTTAGAAATAAAATATTTCCTAGAAGTTGTATCGAAACAAAATATTGAGTCATCTAATTTAAAGAAGACAGTGTCCTATTCTTTATTGAAGAGTCTTTTACAATTCTAAATTTAGTCTGCGAATTCATAACTCTAAATAGCTTTGGAAGTAAACTCAAGCTATTCTATCATCTTGCAGGCTAATGCAAACATTCATCGTATAAACAATTTCTTGTTCTGACAATTATTAGTTATCAACAGCACTAGAGTACTACAATATGAACAATTCAATTGGAAGATACACCATATTAGATTGCTTTATCACTTTGTAAATAATTATTTTGATCAATTTCAGATTTGATTTTAATTTTCCAAGCATTCTATTCAAGTAACATACTTAAAAATGGTTCATTTCACTTGCTATCTCAAGGCTCTAGTTTGCAAAATATAAGATGTTCCATTTGTTAATACTACATTATAACTGTTAGGTACTATTGATCACTACGGATGCAATAAATAATAATTCATTTTTAGTTAAAAGTACAGAAATGAATATAGAATATAGCAACAAAAAAAAATAAATGGCGCATGTATTCATCGTTAAGTAAATTACGATTGAATTTTTCAAAATACCGTTAAACAGCAGAATTTTTTCACGAAATTGTGGTTATACATACTTGAAAGTTCTAAAGATTCATGATAATAATCGTTATTGTTTGTTAAAGTGCACACGTTACAGTTAACACAAATAATATCATGGAAGTAGATTATTTCAAAATAATTTGTGAGATACACTAAATTTATAAAATTTGCTTTAAGAGCTAAGTTTCACTCACTAGAATATCTAACACCCCGTTAGCCACTTAATCACAACATTTAAATTATATTTTCCTATGAAGAACAATATGCATTTTTGAATAAAGTTGAATTACTTCATAGTCCATAGTTTAAGAGAATATAATGTATTACATTGTTGATCGAACGAAACTAGTTCCAATTATATAAACTAATCTGATTATTGAATACAATGAATTTCATGAAATAGTAGCATCAGTAAAAAATAAAAATAATTTCTAACAATAATTAATAACAGATGATCCAGCAAACTTATATAATTCAAATTAATGTCTCATTCATACTGTAATCATGGTGGAAATAAATAATCATTGACTCGTATTTACACCTTGTTGAATTATTTCAAATATTCACGAAGGTCTAGTTAGTTTTCGATGTCTATTCAACTGATGCCAATTCATTAGATAAATGAAATTGAATAATGTTTATTTATTGTGAAAAATTTAATGATACTTTGGTATATGTAAGTTACTAAACAGTAATGAATTTCCTGCTGAAACTTCCAGTAACATTTCCAATTTCAACAGTAATCAGTAAAATATTTATTATAATAATTTTAGCTACAAAGCTCAATATTATTTTACATTGTTTTGGTATGTTTGTTAAAAACTATGAACAGAATCATATGCTAATAAATACTTTGTTCAATAGCTAATTCGTTTCACTTAAACAAAATGTATTTGGAGTATTTTTTCATTATTACTATTAACCAGAAATCATAAAAAATACATCTTTCACTTCTATTAAGAAAGATCTGACTGAGAATAAGATAGTTTTCGGTTTTGAAAAGATGATTATGCAAATCACATTTTAATACAGAGGATTTAGTTCATATTCACGTCAAAATGGTGCATCTAAAAATCCAAAGTAGATGGAGTATAAAATAAATTTCTAGCAATACTTATAGAATAAAACTATTCAAATTCAACTAGGAAACACCCAGTTGGATGCTTTTTAAATATTATTCATAAGAAATTATTGATTCATAATTAACAACGAAGTGTGATAGACTAAACAATCATTTTTGAAAGCTTTATCAGCCTGCACAGCTAGAGATCCAAAACTAATAGTGTGTTACGGTAGACGAAACAAGTTGAATTAATCCATATTATAGACTGCAAAAGACCATTTTCATATCCGTCAAGTTCTGACTATTACAAAACAGTAACAAAATAAACATCGTTGTTGATGTTAGATAACTGTTATTCGTAAACAATAGGAGTAATTATTGCATGGTTGCAGGTGGCTGACAAGAACTCTTGGACACAAATTCCTTACTACATGGCACTCTTCAGCGAGGTACGCCTATAATCCTGAGGGAACTGACACACCCTGGTACATTCGGTCCCGTGCCACTTAGCCTCATAACGAGAGACGTTATCATCGAGTTATCCAAGCCATGACTGACGTTCATTAGGACTGAGATGTATCAACAACTGATTGATCACTGCTTAGTGACCAACCTCATGTGAGGGAGCTCCTTCTTAGTGCTAATCTAATTCTGTCAACCATGTTACAGGCCTGGGTCGCTTAGGGATAACATCTCTGATGTGAGGCTGAATGACATGACATGACATGACAAAGAGAATCAGTTCTCTCAAGATTAATGGTACACTTCGTTAACGGGTGCCAAACAACGCGAAACCTAGGTCCAGGGTTTCCTGTCGACTACCTCCACCCATCACCTCATATCCCACCATAGTGCATGCGATATCGAGTCACCTAGACACTGCAACCTGATCGAAAGAATTCGATCAGCATTACTGAGGGGCTGCCGCACGTAAAACTGGTCACCCTACTCCAGTGACAGACCAACTGTAAAGATGATGGTTATCCTGACTTCACACTAAAGATGATGTTACCAATGATTTGTTCATCTATATGTGCTTATTAATCTAACTTTTCATGGAGACAGGAGTACTCAAAGGTTATTATCTTTACAAGCTCAGGACTACTTACCAGTAAATTGTAAGGCATTACGACTTATTCTTCTCAATCTACTTGAGCATGGATATAGCATCAAAATTAAAGATGCTTTCTTAGTCATCTATCGTGCTCCTAATAAGTCACTAAAAGGGGTGGGAATATGCTTACTCTATGTAGCTGAAGCAACTAGAATCAATTTAAAGAAAGTCATGAATACATTGAAAACAAGCTCATCTATGTTTACTTTAAAATGCATTGGAATTGACCCTATGAGAAGACGATCTGAAGATCATCAGAACATATCCTAAAGGATAAATACATATCACTGGTGAGGAAATGACTTCATTCTATTCGAATGTAGAAAATATATCTAGATAAGTATTTGTATATATTATTCGACAGTCAAATAGAATTTCTATTCCGCTCTTTCCTTTTCGCTCAAATAGCCAGTTTTGGCGAGATAGAATGTATTGCGATCAGATCTCGGAAGCTTCATGACAAGATTCACCTTATATGATATTCTTAAGAGTAAGTATTCCTCCTGCCATTGTGATTATTGTTATTATTACAATAAATACCACAGAGCGGTTCCTGTTTTGTATTAGTTGTTTGACATACACTTTTAGTTTACTGATTAGAATTCATCACCTATACATAATCCTTTTTATCCTTTATATGTTACCTTTCTTTACGATCAACAACGATGTTTATTTTGTTACTGTTTTGTAATGGTCAGGACTTGATGGATATAAAAATCGTCTTTTGCAATCTATAATATGGGTTAATTCAACTTGTCTTGTCTACTGTAACACACTATTAGTTTTGGATCTGTAGCTGTGGAGGCTGATAAAGAAGCTTTCAAAAATATTCGTTCTTAAGAACACTCTTTGTTATCCTATGGGCATTTTAGAATCATTTATTCATATTTAACTGGACGTAGTATTAATAAACTTAAGATTAGCTTAAAAGGCTTTATATAGTAGCAGGTTAATACAATTTCATGTAATGAGATAGAAAGTAATTCTTTCTTCTCATTTAATGTTGTTAGTCACCACGTTCATTGCTTTTTTGACAAGTATGAAAACGTTTTTGGGGCTAATTAAGGTAAAAAGGCTATTTTGAAGGTCCAGATACTGTTACCAAAAGAAATTTCTAATCAGTCTGATAATATTCAGCTAAGGCTGTGTTTCTTGTTGATGAATGTCACTCATTCAGTTCTAACCGTCTGTTAGACAAAAAGACCAGTTAAATAGAGGGTTTATACAGAGTAGTTTAGTTTACGTGAAAATTTCATTTTGAACTAACATAGTCCTAGAGCGGTGTAGAAAACCAGGGAGCATATAAATAACTAAATCAATATATTTTGAAAATTATTATAGAATGTATGCCATTTTGAAGACATGATTACTTTACTCTAGTTTTGTATAACCTTGAAGCTTACACTGACAGTCCCATATAAGATTATTCAGTGAACATGATCAATGTTGATCGGACCACATTAATGGATTATATAATAATGACGTATGAAGTATGTGATAATAAGTGGCTCAAATTCACATACGTAAACTTATTCGCTTAAACGTGACTGATTTGCAACGATGAAATTTGTTTTACAGAATGAATAATCACAACCTCTCGATTAATTTAACATTTTTTTTAAGAGCAAGTTTTAAAGAAACATTTTGGGTGTTTTGTGGAAATTACTCAATAAGTAATTCTGACTTACAGCATGGTAATAATTCTAAATAAATTATGAATAGTTTGCGCTGAATATAGATTGCATCAGTGCAAATAATTCATGCATATTATTGCGTGGTTTGACAAAGAAAAAATAACTAATCGAAAATGTTCCAGTGATTTATTTAGTGTATACCTGTCTACTAAAACAGTTCTTAATACAGCAAAAAAAATATCAAATAAAAACAATGTTTAATCTCTAAAAAAGAGTTATCTGTTGTCTGACGATTAGATTGTTTCTTATTAATTGATATTAAGGCTGAAAATGATTATATAATATAGATGCAGACATTTTACGAAAGATAATACATTTATTGAAGTGATATGAAGAGAATTTCTATGAATTGCTAATTTATTGACGGAGTTTATTTAAGTATTATATATATGACCAAGAAAGAGTTCTTGAGATCGATGATATCATCTCATTTGTGTCACTAGAATGTATATCTTTTAGAACATAAATAGTCTGGTTAGTTTGATGAACCTGCTAGTTTAATTGGTTATTCCAACTAATACGTCATCAAAACATGTGAGCATAAGGTAAATCAAATTTACCAGTAATTTGTTTATCTCACAAAAATACTTGAATACCGAAGATTGTTTCGTCTTCCGTTAAATGCACTTTAAACTGAAAATGGATTAACTGATCGATTTAACTTGGTATGGATACCATCAATAATAAAATATTTTGAAGATTTCCTAGGTTAAAAATAAAAAATAATCTTTTCTTTTTGAGGAGAGTTGAAAAGCACAATTGGATGGATTGAAGCCAAATAATTAGTAGGCAATTATTCTTTCCTAGTATATGTTCTTGTTAAATTCTTTTACTATAAGGAGTTAAAGATGTGTATATTTAAGAGCGTTAAACAAAGTGAAATAATAATAATATATTATACTTTCAATGGTTGTGCTAATAATACGCAGATCAATTTAAATATTGACTTTGAGGAGCCAGATCATTTTATCAAAACAGCAGATCTCAGTATTTCAACGTTATAGTAATTATTTGATCAGTGAAACCGCTAGTAGCATCTTTTTTAAAAAGCAATAATACAAGAAGATATTTTGATAAACAGGTTAGGTGTTTATTTATAATCCATAGAGTTGTAGAAATGATTCTATAAAACCGATACTATAAACAAATGAAAGGAAACCTGTTCCCGTATTGATTAGTAATTTTACTTACAAACAATCTTGTGAAATGAAGTTGTTCCTATGCTAGTTGCAACACAATCATTCTGTTTAATGCCCTATCAACCATTGGCTCAGTGATCAAGGTGTTCAACTTCCTGTCTCTGATTCACGGGTCAGAACTTCGCTCCATCTGCATTGGTTTCAGCAACCGTATCGTATCCTTAGCATTCAGACTTAGAGCGTCGATCAAAGAAAAGTATGCAAATTCGTTCTGAGTAAATGAGTTAAATAGTTCTTAAATACCGTCTGAGGAATTATAAGGCTTGATGGAAGTGTAAAAGACAAACTAGCCCCTGAAGATTTATTTTCACACCAAAATAGTTTAGACAGACTACGAAATCGATTTCCATATTTTCTGTGTACACCGATTGATAGTCAGATTTTAAATTAAACATTAATGAAGTTATTGTGTCAATATAATCTGTGAAACCATAAGTTGCAAACTTGTTGCTCTTTAAAAGTTGCGTTTGATGAGGCTCTAGACCTATGTTCATCAATAAAGTGTAAACATTTTTTTTACCCAGAAACTGATTGTTTATATAAAAAAAATCTAACTCAATTTAGCTATGATGATCAGTATTTAGAAGTGAGCAGTGAATGTCCTCATAACTTTAGTCAATATGAAAATCTAAGTTTGGTGGTTGATTAAATTTTCAGAACACAAAGTTCGGAATAATTTACAAACTTTTTTCATTGTTTCACCTGACAGTGAACTATTCGGCAGGCAAAGATTTCACGATAGCAACATTTTATTATATTCACTAATGTCGTTATCAGTCTTTCTGAACAGCAGAAATGAAATTTCGCGAGAACGGGGAGTGAATGTACAGATTAATTTGACATTTGATAAAGATGTTAAGGTGAAATTTTCGAGGAAAAAACAAGGTTTATTGAGATGTATTTATTCTTTGATTTACGGTTCTGAATAAGCCAGAAGGTGTGTCCTCATTTGATATCAAGTGCCGATTCAGGGTTTTCCCGTAATTATGATGGTTTATGGTCGGTTTATTCAATATTTCATATTACGTAGAGTTAGGTGCTCTCGTTAAACAGTAATGTAGTAAAAAAATGAGAATTCTATGTCAGTCTATCAACAAGTTAAAAATAAGTTGATATTTCAATTATAAGTCAAAGGCTGTGAGATATCAAGCCACACAGTCAATAAAACTACATATAATCAAAGATAAACAAGTTTTCATTATATCTAGTAACTTGTTCAAAGAGTGATCTCAAGGTTGGTTTTCTTTGTTTTAGTTAGGAAAAGTTAGTAGATAACATATATTTTTGCCACGATAGCCATCCGTTTTTCAATATTTAATTAAGTGCAATAATGTTTTTTAAATTTTGTGAGTTAGCGTTATTACATAATGGTTTTTACTAGAGATCTCATATCAGTTATCTAGAGCCATCTACATATGTCTTTTTCAACAGTCCAGTGTAACACATTCTGACCTACCGAAAGTGGAAAATACAACTTGAAAGATGTATTTCCACATTTAGCATTCACCCGTTAATTGAACGATAAAATGTCTGAAACTGACTGTTGTTGAACGTAAATCAAACACTGAAAAGTGCGTACACTACAAATTCAAGGATACTAATCCTATCTCATGTATTTGTAGTAAGTAGCTTACATTTTAAAATAAATTAGCTTCCTATTCCAACCTCATTAAATTTTCCTACATAAGTATTCAAAATATCAAAAACTACAAGGTGAACATCGGTTGAACATTTTCCGAATCCGAAAATAATAATAGCAGTAATGACTTTCGAATAATTTATCGATTAAGTTTAGTGATTGGGTAGTAAGGTCAGTTTGCTTTTTATTGGTTCCATAAATAACGGACTTGACCATAATGTATTAAATATATGCAACACTTTTGTCAGCTTGTTTGAAATGACACATAAGGATCGTTACCGCATGACATAATTCCAAGAAGAATCAGTCTGTACGAGTAAAATATGTATTCTACTTCACTCATGCTCCCGACAGACATAATACGAAATAACAAAATAAAGTTCCGATTAATCCTGCTTGATGCTTGTCAAGGAAGCATTATAAAACAAAGTTTACACCTTTTATTTTGTTTCATACAGCTAATATTCACTCTAATTTGAAGTTTAGTGATAAATAATAAATTTCTGCATGTTTGTTGGAAATGACATTAATGGTTTAGTCATAGGAAAAAGGTTTTGTGATAATTATTTCCGTGTAGCTAACTGTATCCACAGCCTGAATAGAGCTAATTTTCCTGTGAACTAAAGATTTACATGATAAGGAAAAACAAATAGTGTTACTGCTGTATATATCAAAAGTACGAATGAAATAAAAAGTAACAGAGCAGAAGTTAACCAAAGGTTGCAAGTATTACTTTAAATATGTCCTAGTATTGAGAAATACGGAGTAAAGTAATCATTTTATACTTGAAAACCATTTTCTACGGGTTTTTAAGGGTTCATTTTACTTAAGGAATAGAGGCATCAGTGTTAATCGGTATAATGTGTATAAGAAGAACAAAAATATCTCTTTAAAAAAATTATTCACTAACTATTCAGGCGCAAACAAATACGAATTCTTATAAAAAGAAATTCAGGATTAGTTAGCTTCTTCACAAAAATGAAGATCAAATATTGTAGATTCACATTACTATTAACTCATTAATGAAATATTATTTCTTACCGTTGTAATCAATCTCATTGAAAACCGATTGTATTAATTCAGGTTTCATTGGTGAAACAGGTACATCCAATTCATCAAAAATATACTCGGCATAAAGTTTATTATAAACTAAATTTCCCCATAACTCCTTGGAAATAGTGGATTTAGAAAAGTATTTTTCATTTAATGATTCCACATCAAATACATTTTTTAGTGTACGCCTGAATTCATATAGAAGTATAAGTTTAATTCTTTCATAAGCTAAATCCAATATCAAATGTGTAAATTGTTCAGTTAAATTAATAATTTTTGTCAAATTTGTTGAATGTGATATCTGGTTCAACCATTTTGATAGACTTATCTTATTTGATCTAATTAGAGTATATGTATTTATGAAGCTTCTATTTTTTGAAAGAAATGGCAGATTTTCATACAGGTCAAGCTCATTGAACTTTGAATAATGTAGCGACTTTGGTTTAAACGTGTGAAGGTCAAGTTGTTTCAGTTTTTGCTGCACTTCATTTGAATTTCTGATTTTTCGAATCAGCGGTCTTTTTTGAAAAGCAGACATCCATTTCCTATACTTTTTTGAATAAAGATTAGCTGTAAATAGATTTATATTCCAAAAGTAAAGGTATTATTACCATAGAAAATATTGAAAAAATTAAAACATAATTAGGTTTAGCATAATAAAAGAGAATTCGAATTGATCTAAAAGGTTACGGTCTATAAAACGTCATGGTTAGAAAACCTAGAAATGACCAGATGGCATAACCAAATCGTTATGAAATTCTAAGAAATTTATCTCTAGAATTACAAATTTCAGTTGACATCAGTTGATAATGCTCTGAATATTTTTGTACTGTTCAGAAACAGAATAAACAGTATTACCTCCAAAATAATTGAAAAATTACCGATGTATGTTATCGAGCAACAAAGTAGTTATAGTAGTATACAGGTTTAAATGCACCTACCAACGACTACAATGAAGACATTAAAGATCAACTCTACGAGGGGCCGCAGTCTATCGTCGACTTAATGCTAAAGTTGGTACGTACAACAATGGATATGAAGACATCATGGAACGACATGGACTCGGAGATAGGAATGAAAATGGTGAGAGATTAACAAACCTATGTGCCTTCAGCAAATTGGTGAAAGTTTGGAAATGACAACGGAAAAGACTGCAGGAGAAGGAAACTTGAGAAAATGGTACGATACAAGAAAGAAGCTCACTGAAAACTATCGTAAACCAGAACGACCAGTGAAAAGCAGTCATAGCAAAGTAATCAGTAACGTACAAGAACAGCAGAACAGGTTGTCAGAGCACTTTAAGGGACTCTAGAATCGACCAGCTCCACTGAACTCACCCGACATCGAAGCAGCATCTACGGCCCGCCCAGACAATGTTGGCCTACCAACAATTAAAGAGATCAGTATGGCCATCAGATAAATCAAGAGCGGCAAATCAGCAGGAGTAGATAACATTCCAGCAGAGGCAACGAAGGCAGACGTGGTAGCAACTGCAAAAATATTCCACACTCTCTTCAACAAGATTCGGGAGGAAGACCAGGTACCAACAAGCTACGTGTAAGGACATCTAATCAAAATACCAAAGGAATTCGATATCAGCAAGTGTGAGAACTACAGAGGCATCACTCTTCTCTCAACACCAGACAAAGTCTTCAACAGGGTGTTTTTAAACAGAATGAAGTACTTCGGAGACATCCAAATTTGAGGTCAGCAGGCTAGATTGCATAAAGATATATCGTGTACCGACCAAATTGCAAAATTATGCATCATTGTGGAATAGTCAATTGAATGGAACTCACCACTCTACATCAACTTCATCGACTACGAGAAAGCATTCGGTAGCGTGAACAGGACTAAATTATGGAGGCTTCCTCGACACTGCAGCGTCCCTGAGAAGTTCTTGTGATGGATTGGACGGTAAGATCGTGAGTGGAGGAGAGCTTCGTTCAAGGTGAAGACCGATGTCAGGGGAGGTTGCCAACTCCAACCCTTTCTTCCTCCTTTTGATCAATGGGTTATGAAGGCGTCAACATCTGAAGGGAATCACGGGATACAGTGGACAACCAGGATGCAACTGGACAATCTGATCTTCGCAGATGATCTGTCTCTTCTATTGCACAGGCAAAAACAAATGCAAGAGAAGAAGACCAGTGTAAAGCAGCCTCAACAGCAGCACGTCTCAACATACACAAAGGGAAAAGCAAGATTCTCCGATACAACACAACATGCACAAACCGTATCACTAATGGTGGGGATGCCTTGGAGGATGTAAAAAACCTTTATATACCTGGGCAGCATCATCGGCAAGCAAGGTAGATCTGACACAGATGTGAGGGCGCGAATCGGCAAAGCAAGTGTCACATTTCTACATTCAAACAACATCTGAAACTCAAAATAACCATCAATGAACACCAAAGTCAGAATTTTCAATACAAGTGTCAAGACGGTTCTCCTGATTGAGGCAGAAATTTGGAAAACTACCAAAGCCATCATCCAGAAGATACAAGTATTCATTAACAGTTGTCTAAGCAAAATAATTGGGATCCGTTGACCAGACACCATCAACAACATCCTACTATAGTAGAGAACAAACTGGATTCCGGTGGAGGAGGAAATCAGGGAGAAGTGTTGCAAGTGGACAGGACACACATTACGGCAAGCACACAATTGCGTCGCAAGAAAAGCCCTCACTTTGGACCCTCAAAATCGAAGAAAAGAGGAAGGCGAAGGAATGCAATACACAAATAAATAGAGAGAAACATGAGAAGAATGAACGAAAATTGAACAAAAGTGGAAAGGACGTGCCAAGACAGAGTATGTCAGAGAATGCAGGTCGGCGGCCTAAGCTTCATTGGGATTAAGAAGCGTAATTAAGTAAGTAAGTAAAATATGAACTTAAGTCCTTTGCTTAATCAATAGAAATTGAACGATTTTCTGAGAATAAAGTTAATGATTCATAGTCGGAACCCTACAAATCTTGGAAGTATGCATATAATCTTATAATTAATTGCTCTATTCACCAGTCTTACACCCTTACCTAAACCACGGATCCTAGTGTAAGGTACTAGATCTGACTCTTAAATAGCAAATATTAATGAACTCACTGATTGGCTTATCACAGCAGGCGCGTAATTCATATGTATTATCGAAATACTCATGCAAACGATTCGACTTGTAGCCATTACTATAGGTATTCCAACACGGATGATGGTTTTGATTGGAGTGATAAGAAATATGGTTGAAAAAATCAAAGTAAGTTGGTGACCAGTTTTGTAGAAATAATGAAGTTCTCTTATTGTATTTGAATCCAGAAATACCAAGCAATAAACCGGTATTCAAAAAATAAATATGATGTGTTATTGTCGAATATATTAAAAATATGATAATTAATTGATATTCAAAAGAACGAAATATTTTTGTCATGAATTGATGGGAAAAACAAGTATTAGGTGCTTCTTCAGTTACTGTATTAGGTTTTACTTGTTGTTGCTAAATTTTTCTACTGTAAAACTGAATTTCGATTGATTTTGATCTAAAATTTTAGGAGATCAGCTTCAGACGGTTATACTTTTTGTAGAAAACCTATAAACAGAAAATTAAAGTTTGGAAAAATGCCACAACTCATTGAATACTCAAATTTACGTAATAAAAAAGCTTTGAAAGTTTTTTGATTATACTTACAATGTTGCTTAATTGCAATACAAACTCTATACTTTTTTCGTTCAATGGCTATTTGATTAAACGTAAAAATCTATTCTTTAATAAAGTGAGAGAAAAATAATGATATAATTAGTAATAAACTCATGTTTTGCATATATATAAAATACCGTTTTCTGAGTCGCTTTTTGAGATCACATGTTTGATAAACAATATTTCGACTTAGACGTAACAAATTATCATTTTGTTATGAATTATGAAAAATTAATATCTTTGTAAATCAGGTAATGAATGAATAAAAGACATTAGAAGTGGAAATAAAATCAAGGCATCAAATATTAATCAAATTTTTTATTAATGTTAGGGTAATTACTTTGAGTCCACCGATGCTTCAGACTATTCATCAAAGTTGCTTTATGCAGTCGAACAATAATGAATAATCAGTTTCTGATTGTTGAACAAGTTTAACATTCGTTAAGATAGAAAAATTCTGTGTTTTACATTCATTCACATACATAATGTGTAGGCAATGAATAAATGACATGTCACTTGATTAAATCGGTTATTTCAGACAATCATATATAATTCAATCACTTGATAAATAATTACGTATAACTTAGTTTATTATACAATCTATAATACAGAAATTCATGCATAGAACTAAACCTGTTACTAAAATTTGACCATCATTAAAGATAATACTTCTAAACAAATTAAATCTTCATTTAAAAATGTTTAGGGCTATAAAAGTACAAAAATCTAGATAAAAGTCAATCTAAAGAAATTGTCAATTAATAATTTTGAAAAACAAAAATCATAGTTTAGCATATTTTTCAAATTGTAATTCTATAAATCTTTTCATTTGCAATGATGAGCTTTGGAATCACTAATCGTCTCCTAAATGTTTGTATCATATTGAATAAGTTTGTAAAATTTACACATTTCTATCAACTTGATATTAATTAGAAGACTAAGTTTGATGCTCAAGCCCATAAGTTAATAAATTACTTTGAATGATTATTTAATAAGCATATATTCACTGTAGCTGAAGAAATTTTCTATAAATTAAATTTGACTAAACATCTCAACAACAAAAAAATGACAAAAAATATAAGTTCAAATAATTGATGTTAAAGAAAAACTTCACTGTTATAAAGCTTTTTGTAAGGATAACTGGCTTATAATAATTTAATATCACTGAAGTCGGATGAAATGCTTGCTTTTAATTTTGTAAAAATTTCCAGAGTTTTATTTTATAATACATCCATCTTATTTGTATGCTAACTGTTTTCTAACTATTGTACTATTGTACATTTCTGCCTAATAATTCTGACTGAGAAACATCTTAAGATCGATTTGTCAAATCTTGTTATTTAATATGTACCGAGGAAGTTTGGTAAAAAATAATGCACATTACTGTTCTTTTCGGTACTGAATATTTATAAATGGAATAAATTTTATGCATAAAATGTGGTCAAAAATCTCTGATGAATAAATAGTAATTCATATTCACTATAGCATACATATATGTGAGTTATTAATTACAAACATAATCGATAGTTTTTAAAATTTAAATAGATCTAACTAAGTAAATGTGTTGAATGAAACTAATAATGGAAGTTGTAGCAACCATAGAAATATGTTGTAAGTTCTTGTAATTCTTTCTGTTGTTTCGCTGCCCATTAATTTTATTTTACTTTTAATATATTTGTACTGTTAGTCATTACATTTCTTTGCTCCATCGTAGTTTACATTGAATTTCACAATTCAAAACATCCACTACTGTTACAACCTACTTTCACTGAAGCTAAGTTAAGTCGTCCAGGTGCTGAGGTAGTCTGGAAAGATTTTATTTTGCATATTAGTTAAGGTTGAGAAAAC